TCATAATACTAGTAAATGCTGTAAATGGTCGTAAGTATGCTCAGACTACGGATGATACGAATAGTGATATTAATACGAATGCTAATAATAACACTCGCACGGACATGATCTTAATAATCAGAGGAGGAGGAGGTGGAGGAGGAGGAGGAGGAATAGGAGGAGGCGCCACCCTTTCTGGATGGTGGGTCAGACTCATCAGGAATGTGTTTTGGGGGGGTCTCTTCGGAGTGGTTTGGGGGGCATTTGGGGGGCCAGTTTGGGGGCCTCGTGGGAGCCACTTGGGAGCCTCATGGGAGCCTTTTGGGGGTCTCTTGGGAGCCTCTTGGGGGCTTCTTGGGGCTTCCTGCAACCCTCTCGAAGCCGAGGGCTTGAAATGTCCGCTCGGGCCCCCCCGTCTGGGCTCCCTCTTGGAGCTGGTTTGGGTGCCTCTTGGGCCGTCGTGGAGGCCTCTTTGGCCATCTTGGATCCCGCTTGGGCCGTTTTGGAGCCCTCTAGATGGCCTCTAGGGCCGCTGTGGGGTCATCTTCGAGGCCTGCCGTCTTGGAGCATCGGGAAACCGAAAAAGCAAGAACTCCAGAATCTTTTACAACACCGAAAGGATATCAATGTTGTTTGCCTCCTTGGGCCCTCTTTGGAGGCCCCTTGGGGCGTCTTGGAGGCTTGATCTGGCAGGGTCGACCAACTAATCAGCCTCGACTGCAGTATGGAAGAAGACGGGGAGACACTCGCATACAGAACAGATAAGGCCCTCGTCCGTGACGACCGGCTTGCACGCCCAGGCCGGCAGCGCCTCGGCGGCGATGCGGACAAGCTCGTAGTAGTCGGTTTGCTTCGTGGCCGCACGGCGGGCGACAAAAGGAGCGGCATGGGGGCGAGGGAGATTGTTCCCATCGCCGCTGGCTTGGGAGGTCCGGCCAGCAGCTGAGATATCGCGCCTGGGGTGGCCGTGACTCAGCAGATGGGCCCAGCGTGGGTAGTCTCAGCTACGCTTAACCCGCACAGTAATGACGGGCATCCTCCCCCTTCGGCACATCCCTGGCCGCTTTCGTTGTCCGCGCCCCGCCCCCAGAGCGTCGACGTGGCCTTCCAAGGCCCTTGCGTCGCGCCCCGTCCCCAAAGCGGGGGGGGGGGGAGGGGCGAATTTCAGCTTGGGGGCCCCCGGTGGGGGGTGATGATGGGGGGGGAGAAGTTCACTCGCCGAGGGACCCGCAAGGGGTCGGCGGATGCTGGCCAGCCCGATCGGATGTGGTCCCGATCTGTATTCTGACGACCCGATGCGACGGGCATGCTTGCACGGCGCGGCTGTGCGTCCTGGCGCGGCAGATCCGATTCGATTCCGACGTCGTGCCGATGGAGCCCGATCCGCTGCGAATTCTGGGAACAAGGGCGAGCGACACCGCCAGGGCGAGGAGCCAGGGGGATCCTTGCGGTGCTGTGGCCCCCCTGCCCGCTCGAGGCACCTGCCATCCCCAGCTCGAAACAGACATCGTGGACCTCCTTGCTGGAGGTGGCACCCTTTGTGGTGGTGTCGCTCTTCTTGCCGCCGGCTTTCTGATCCGATTCGCTTTCCGGAGTATCCGATGCCATCGACTGCACGTGACGGTGACCTTCCGCCAGAGTTTCCACTGGTGCGGGCCCAGTGGGGTCCCCCGACCGCTGAGCGAGAGGCGGTACAGTCGGGGCCCTGAAGAAGGAACCCTTTTGGTTGGGGAGGGGCTCCGCGTTCCTTAAGTGTTTCACAGCTTGCCTCAGGTTTTCCTCATCTTTTCGATAGGAAATCGAAGTTTAACTTATGGAGAAAAGGGGCCTCGTTCCTTATCTAGGGTTCCTTAGGTCAACGCCCCGACTGTAGCAGGCGGCTTGCGCGCCCCGCGTCCCCCGTGAAGGCGCGCACCAAAGGCCAGCCTCACGCGCCGCCGATGCCATCCGGCCCTGCGGGCGTCGCTGCCCGCCTCCCGTCCGCGCGCGCACTCCCCCCTCCTCCTCCTCCGCCTCCTCCTCCTCCTCCTCCTCCTCCTCCTCCTCCTCCTCCTCCTCGTCCTCCTCCTCCTCCTCGTCCTCCTCCTCCTCCTCCTCCTCCTCCTCCTCCTCCTCCTCCTCCTCCTCCTCCTCCTCCTCCTCCTCCTCCTCCCCCTCGGCGACGAGTCGGCGGGAGGAGGGCGCGCGCCGCAGCCCAGCGGGAGCCCCACTCGTGGGGAGAACGAGCGCGGCGCTGGGGCGAGGGCGACACCGGGGGCGCCCGCGGGCGGATCGGAGCGCTTCGGCGGCGCCCCCCCCCCTACATGACATCGCGCTGCACCTCCGCCCGCCGGCCCCCATTCGCAGTCGAGTCTCCGGCTGCGAGCCCCTCGGCATCGCTCGGACGTCTGTTTTTTTCCCTCAAGAGGGGGAAAAACACACAGACACAATTAATCCTCGATTCCCCAGAAAATATGGTAAAATATGGGCAGTGGGGGGGAAGACAAAAACACAGAAAATATTGGAAAATATGGGGGATATGTTTATTTGTGTGTATTTATTTGTGTGTCCTGGGGCCCCTTCATTCCCAGCAGGGGCCATCGAGGAGTACTTCGGGTCATCTTGAGAAGAGCGCACGTGCGCGAAGCAGAAGCCACGCACAGGGAATGGGCGTCCGAGCGGTGGCGGGGCCCCCGAGTTCCTCCTCGAAGAACCTGACCGCTCAGAAAGAAGGAAGGGAACTCTGGTATATACCCCCGGGGGGGCGATTCGGACGCACTACTAGCGAGGATGGACGCCCTCCCATGTATCTACGGGCGGGGCCCCAATCTGCCAGTCCCAGCTGTGTCATGTTGTGTCCCCGTCTCTGGCCCAGTCAAGCGCCCCTTGAGTCGAGGACTGGGGTCGCCGCGCGCCCCTCTACTTCTCCTTTCCCTGGAGGAGGCGCATCGATGTTCGAGGATCAAGGATCAAGGCTTTTCGGCGCCCTTCGCCCACTCGAGGCGTCTCGGGGGCGAGTCGTCGCCGCGGCCGGATCCGCCTCAAAGTCCTCGTCGCACCGCGGCCCCCCAGACATGCCCGGTGTGCCGATCCTGAGCCGGCGCTCGTGATCGCCGATTCCAAATCATCCCCTCACCACCCACCAAACCACCCCAACCCAACCCGAAGGCCCAAATTTATCCTCGATTTCCAGTGGGGGGTGGGTCGGGGAACGTTGAAAAAACACATGGTATCCGTACCCCCCCCAACCCGAAATTCGGGTCAAATTCGGGTCTTCGGGTTGGGTTGGGGTGGTCTGGTAGGTAGTCATCCCCCTGGTCCTTTTCCATCGCGCTCCCGAAGCGCCACCCTCATCAGCAGCATCGGCAGCCGCGTCTGCAGCCATTTTTTGGCGCAGGCGCTTCCCTCGGACCCTCCGCCCGCCTCCGCTCGTGCCCCGAGAGATCCACCGACGTGCTGCGTCAACCCGCGGCCCACGAAGTTCCGACCGCCCCCCCCGGGGGTAGTGTTCCGTCGCGGACCCCACTTCTCATGGCCCCAGGGCCCGAGAAGAGTGGCCCCCGAGGGCTGGCCTCGAGGAGCGCCCGCCGGCTGAAAAGAAACATCACATCGTCGGAGCTCCGGGGCCGCCGCCCGCCGCCCGCCCGAGGCCACGAATGGCGCGCGGCCGCCGCTCCGCCACGGCGGCCCTGCTCGGCGCCGCGGCGCTGTGGGCAGGCCGGGCGTTCGTGCTCGCCCCCGGCGGCCCCGGGCACCCCGCCGCGGCTGCCGCGCGCCTCGTGGCACGCCGCTCGGGAGCGCCGGCCGCGGGGGGGAGAAGAGCGCACCAACGCGGGTGCCCCATCCTCGTGGGTCCGTCGCCGTGTGGCCTCTCCTCCCCGCCTTCGCGGCCGCCTTGTCTGTCCCGGCCCCGCTCCTGCACGCTGGCCAGTTCGCTTCTCTGTGCCCCCGTGTAGCTCTAGCGCTGGTGCTCGGGGAACAAAAAGTGACATAAACATAAAAACTCGGAGGTCCGCGCGGACTTCTCGGATCGGCGCTGGACCCCCCTCCCTGGCGCGCGGAGCGCGCCAGGGGCGGCGCCGGAGGCGCCGCCAGGGGGCCTCCAGCGCCATCCGAGAAATCCGCGCGGACCTCCGAGTTTTTTATGTTTATGTCACTTTTTGCTCCCCCAATTCAGCGGGTGGGTGTGACCAAGGGGGGGATCTCATGGCGGGGGCCGTGACATCTTCCCAGATCTCATGTCCCTGGGTCCCCGCCTCGTCCGCGCACGTGCCTCGGGCCACGGTTTACAACCCCCCTCTTCGACGCCACCCTCTCATCCTCCACCCTCCTCCTCCTCCTCCTCCTCCTCCTCCTCCTCCTCCTCCTCCTCCTCCTCCTCCTCCTCCTCCTCCTTGGAGAGCAAGCGGGCCCCGAAAATGGATTATGGCACGACTGGCTCTTCATGATTATCCCCGCAAGTCTGGTCGCAACCCACGCGATGACGCCAGGTGGCTTGTGAAGACGGGCCATCGTTGAGCTGACGAAGAAGAGCTGAGAGTAGTTATGCATTGGCGTGCACGTGCATGCACATGCCTTGTTCCGCAACCGTTATTGTTTGGGACACTTTTTGTGCTTTCCACATGCGCTCCGTATTGGTAAACCATCCGTAGCCATTCGCTGTTGCTGCTGATGCCGGCGTGCCAGTGGTAGCGGAGCCCGTGGTCAGACCGCGGTTTCGGCAGCTGGGGCGACCGGGTGTCGAACAGCAGCGCGAACAGCCAACGAATCAATGGTTCGAGGTGGAGACTGGAGTCCGATAGCCGCAGGTGGGGATAACGGTGTCTGACGGCGGACGTCGGAATCGCTATTGCGGCCCAATTGCGGCGAAGGATTCTCCGAGCAGCAGACAGCCGATCTTATGCAGATTGCACAACACAGCCGTCACCAGCTCCAGGAGCTGAGGACGAGCTGAGCCGTCTCTCGCCCCCAGGAGACGCGAGCAGGATCCGAGGCTCTGAAGGCGCCAACGCCCGAAGCAGAGAGCGCGGGCCGACAAGGCCGGAGAAGGACGACCCGTGGGCTGGTCGACAGGACCCGTCGTGGAAGACAGCACGCTGGTGAGAGTGACCTGGTAGCTCGTGGGGAGCTACGCGCGAGGCCTGGTGGGAGTATGCGACCGGCGAGAGCCGCCAAGGACCGCAGGGATCCGACCGAGAAGGATTCGGCCGAGAAAAACTACAAGGACTTAGTGGGCTGGTCCTGGCAGGAGAGCGGCTGGAACTCGAGCTAGCGGAGCTCCGGCTGGGACCAGGAGTTTTGGCACAAGCCAGGCTATTCCGATCCCGACCCCTGCAAAATGGAGACGGATGATCTGGACATGGTTAGCGGCGATTGACGCGATGGAGCCGAAGGGGTCAGACCGCCTCCTGAAGGCCCTAGACCTCGACTTCCAGACAAAAATAGAGGACATCGGCGACAGCATCTTAATCTCCAGCGCGGGCCCGGAGATAGTTTTGAAGCGATGAGATGTCATGAGTGAAAAATGGACCGATGATGAGGACAGGCGTGCTGCGCCATAGTGTCTGCGGATAGTAGTGCAGGACTGAAGAATGCCTGTCCATGGTCGCAGCCCGCATGGAGCAGCAGCTTAATGTCCTGAAGGCACAAGGGCTTCCGGTTCCCTTGCCCGACAAGCGGAGGCGCCGCTTCATGGAAGAGGGAGTGGGCCTCGACGAGAATGGCCGCCAGATGATGCGCTCTGACCCGCAACGCAGGTAAGTGCGACGACCTGCAGAATACAATTCGAACGCTCGACTTGACCTGCCCAAGACGGAGAGCATGTCGAGTAGCGGCAAAGCGGCTCGGCCACATCCACTCGAGGGCGCCCGGAACACCCTCGAGGGCGAGGAGACTGAGTCGGAAGCTCAGATAGACACGGAGCTCGAGAACGAGACTTCTGAAAAGCATCGAAGAGGCCGACGTCGGGGAGGGCGACGCGCCCCCAGTGCTCGCTGAGCTGGCAGGCGAGCGAAAGAACGCCTGGAAGGAATGCCAGAACCTGAGGAGGCAGGCGGAGGCGGACCAGAAGTTCTACACTCCCCCGCCCCCCCGCCCGCCGCGGCCAGAGGCCGCCCAGACAGGCGCCTTGCTGGCGCCCGCGGCGATCGCCGGCCCGGAGGCGTCGCCGGCGGCCGACCCTTCCGACCGAGGCGCGAGCGTTGCACCCTGGAGCAGCCGATGAAGGTAGGAGCGCGTTTGTTGATCGATTGGAGCAGAATGGGCGTTATAGCCCCCGGCCCACCCACCCCCTCCCATAACGCAGCGCCCCATCCCCCCCGGCGCGCTCCGGGCACTGCCGCCGCGCGCGTGGCGGGGAGGGCGCCGCGCCCCCCCCCCCCCCCCCCCCCTTGCCCCCCCTCCCCCCCGTAATGCCCATCATCGCCGAAAGCAGAGAAAAGCGCTCCAGCGAAGTGCAAAAAGTGGCGCGAGGAGGATTGCCGGTCTCGAGAGCGCCCCGAGAAGATGCCCTGCCCGGTTGCCTTCGCCCACCTGCATGGGCTGGCATCGGCGGGCTCGAGCTCGGCGCTGGTCGCGCGCGGCGACGCGGCCTGGCGATACGGGGGCGCGCTGAAGGGCACGGCGATCAACGGCCTGGACCAGGGCGAGACGAACGCCAGCCTGGACAAGGGCAGCGTGATAGGCGGCGTCCTCCTGACCAGCGAAGGCGGCCAGATCATTGTGGACACTGCGGCTGCGCAGGGCCTCATAGGCCCAGGCAGGGCCCCCGGCCACGCCGGAGAAGAGGCTCAAAGACTCGGGCCACTTTGCGTCGCGCGTCAAGAGCAGCAACGCCGCGGCCCGCGGCGCGAGAGGCCTTGCCCTGGTCGCCTCGGGCTTCTCGGCGCCGACCAGCCTGGGGGGCCGCGAGGGGGCGGTGGACATCGATCTGGTGGATCAGAAGCAGCCGGCGTGGCGCCATTCGGCATGCAGGAGATGCCAGGGGCCGTCGTCGACTTGCCGCGCAGACGCGTGGAATTCATTCGCCTTGGAGCGGAGACCCCTCTGGGGGAGTTGCCGAGCGGTCGCCGCGCCGCGAGCGCGAGGCGAAGATCCGACGGCACAGCGAGGGCATCGAGTCTCGAATGTTCCGGAACTAAAAGGTGCGGCGGAGGGCGCGTCTCCGCCAGGTGCGAAGGTCAACGAGAACAGCCTGGAGATAATCACCGCTGGGAAAAGTGCCCCCCCGCGATGCCCCCCGATTCGGGAATGGGGACAGCTTGGAGACGGTGACCGACGCCGTTGCAATCGCCCTCCTGCGACGCCCTCACCTCAGGAGCCAGGAAGACGGAAGAGGAAGGGAGCAGAGAACGCCCAGGTCAGACCTTCCCCCGCGGCAAGGAGCCCGCTCGTCGAGGCGCGGGCGAAGCCCGCAAAGCCGAGGGGCATGAGCATGGAAACGCGCCGCATGCGTTCGGAAATGGGTTTAAACCGAACGTCCGCAGAGCAAGTCCACTGTTCCAGACAGCCCGACAGGAAATCGCGCCTCTCTTCCTCCTCCACCGTAGATGCAAAGGGAATTCTCGACACCCTTGACAAAGGCACGTGGGTCTCCAACAACGACCGCGGAGTGGCTATCGACTTTTCGATTCGCAGGGGCAGCCCATCGCGTGAAGGGGGGACAGTAAGGTGGCTACCACATCCATTAATGCCAGTGAATGCGTTGATAGACGCGGACGCGAGCAACGGGCATGCCGCTCAGCTCCAGCTCATCAAGACTCAAGACAGGCACGATGCGCCTCACAGCCGAGCAGGACTCTTTGTGTTGTCTCTCTCTCTCTCTCTCTGTCTCTCCTCCTCCTCGCTCCCTCAGCGTCAGCAGGGCCCCTCCTCCAAGGCAAGGTCTCGAGCGGACTCGTCTCGTCAGCTCGACTCGTCGTCGTCGTCGTCATCGAAGTCGCGACTTATCAGAGACGGGGAGGACTCCTCAGCGTAAGTCTCACATGTCCTCATGCTGATGGGATTTGGCGAGTTCGTGCCTGGTCCACCAAGTGCGAGCTCCTGTTTAGTTCTAAGATCGCTGACGTCGGGCGGCCTGAGTAAGTACAGTGTTTGAGCTGAATGAGTTTTGCATTGCCGTGTACGTGTGTGTACTTGTGTTGTTCCGTAACCGTTATAGGGTTAGGGCACCTTCTGTACGTTCCATTCGCGCCCTTTAGTGATAAAGCATACGTGACCGCTCGCTGTTGCTTCCGATGTTGGCGTGGCAGGGCAGCCATTGCAAAGATGGGAGGCGGATGTGGGTACTCTTTGTTGAGCGCCCCCTTCGAAGTTGACGGGCGCGTTGGGCTCTTGGCTGAATGCCTCGTAGCCCGTGCACCTTGATGTGTTGGCTTCCCGCAGCGCGATTGCAATGTTATCTCGTCCGTTGTGCCTGGGCTTGTTTATACACAGTTTCGGGCTCTCGGGGCCCTCCCTGGGCCCTGGGGCCGTCAAGAGATGGATCGGGGCAGGATGGTGGTCTTGGAGGGAAGGCCCCAGCGTCCAGGGACCCGCCTCCTTCATCAATGACCCGCGAGTTTCCTTTCTGCCAGTCTTCGCCCTTGTTGGGCCGCCCTCGCCGCCACGGCCAGATTCGTTTCGGAATTCCAGTCAGGACGCGCCACAAGAAGGGTCTTTCCCAGATTTCCAGGGGGCAGCAGCATCTTCGGTATCTTTCGGATCCTCATAGGTTGACGGCGGAAACCTCGGCGGCGACTTCTGGGCACACCCGTGGGCGGAGGCGCTCGGGAAGAGCCCCAAGGGCGATGACATCGTTTTCGACGACGTGGTGGAGCATTTCAACAGGCTCCGCGAGGAGGACGGCTTGGATCCCCTGATGGAGGGCAGCTCCCCGTTGGTCATTCTGGAGGGCATCGTGACAAACTCGGAACAGTCCGGCCAGAAGGGGCTAAACAAGGCCGAGAGGATAGCGGACGGCATCCAGGCGAGCTCCTTCCTCCTCAGCGAGCTCACCGAGTGAACCTCATTGAGCCCAGGCGGCCGGTGGCGCCACCGCTAGATGTCATGCGGGCTGAGCGGGCCTGTGTCCCCAGACCTCCGACGTCGCACGCTGGAGGCATCGGCCAGTTCTTGGCGGCGCCCGCGGACTGGCGGGCCGGTTTTTGGCTCTTCGAGAGGGCGGTACAGGCGCCGTGTCTGCGTGCTGGCGCCCGTGGGGCCTCGTCCCCGGGCCGCTTCCACGGCACGGGCGCGCTGCCAAGCGGGTCCTGTCCCACCCCGAGGCGCGCACGGGGGGGGGGGCGCGAGGGCGGCGGGCGCCTGAGAGCGCGGGGAGGGGCTGCTCGGAAGGCGGTGGCCTCTCAAGAGCCGTGCCGGCTGCCACGTGGCCTCCTCGGAGGCCTCCAGGCCCTTGTCGGAAGGCCCCATGCCTTCCAAGCGGCCCCATATGCCATATGCCTTCTTTGACGAACGAGCAACACACACACACACACACACACACACACACCCATACACCCATACCCATAGGGGGTCGTTGAGAGGAGGACTGGCTATGGGTATGGGTGCGGGTTGTCGGACCCTGGGGAACGCTCCCGTTCGAGCGGGGACCCCCTATCCGACAACACGCACCCATAGCCCTCTCCGACCCCCCCACGGGTATGGGTGTGTGTGTGTGTGTTGTTGGTTCGTCATTCTTGGAAGGCCGCGCCGCCAACCTTCCCTGGGGACCGCGCCTTCATCCCGAGTCCTCTTGGTGGTCCCTGGGCCCAGCAGGAGCTCCCAGGTGCAGAACGCTGCCAGATCCGTCCGTCAAGATTCGCTCACGACGCGAGGGATCCTCGGCCAAGGGAGGGCGCGACGGGTGTGCAGTCCATCTCTCTTTTGTTTTTTTTCTCTCTCTTTCTCTCTCTCTCTCTTTCTCTCTCTCTCTCTCTCTCTCTCCCTCTCTCTGAAAGGGCGATCCGCGCGGGCTCGTTCGAGTTGTCGAGTCGGCCGCGTGAGTGACGCTTGCGCCCTCGTAGTTTCAATAACGTGGCCCGCAGAGATCAGCATCATCATCCGCAGCCTCCTCGCCATGCTCCCTGGCACCCCATCCTTCTCGTCCGCGTTATCCCCCTCGTCCTCCAGAGCTTCCTGTGCCTTGGCCATAAGGGGCCCGAAGAGATCCCAACACGATCGACAGCTCGAAGCCTCCTCGTTCCGCGGAGGCCTCTGGAGGTCCCCAGAGGATCGCCCGGGGCCAGAAACGGAGACCAACGCCGGGATTCAAAATGTCAATCTCTATCGGATGCCGAGGTCCTCTTCTCTTCCTCCAGCATCCATGCTTCTCATGAGCTCCACCTGGTCGCACCACCACCAGACGTGTCGTCAGGGTGGGCCAGGGAGTTGTTCCTGCGACTTCCTCACCGCTTGCGCGCGACACCTTCTCAGCGTGGGGTTCTCGCCTTGGCGCGCACGCGCTTGTCTGAAACAAAGGCGATCCCCCTTATCCTAAGCTGGGTTCCTTGTTGTTAGTATGACGCCTTCGTACTCAGATTCGCCCTCACTCTGGTTTCCCTCTTCCTCGCACTCAGACGTATTCCCCAATCAGCGGTTGCACTGAAGGGGTCCTACAACCCTCGTCAAAATTAACCTCAAAATGGCGGGCACGCCCCTTCGATGTCGGCGCGCCCCTTCAATGTCGATACGACGCCCCTTCAATGTCGGGGCCAGGGCAGATGTGGTGTGACCGGGAGCGACTCGAAAATTCAAAGATGACCGACATTGGAGGGGCGGCGCATACAAGTACATCGCACTCATCGGCACTCGGTCCGATATCTCCCACAATCAGTTCAGCTACGTGAGGCATTTTTGAGGTTATTTTTGACGAGGGTTGTAGCGTATCTTAAAGGATTTGGCGAAAGTTGGCGGCCGATTTCGGTAGGCGGCCAGGTTCCCGGGTTTCCGTTTCCTGGTTTCCGGGCACCTTGTTCCGAGTTCCCGGCCGAGTTCGGCGGGCGGCGAGGTTCCCGGGTTTGTGGTCAATCTCCTGATCGGTCGGTCGCACCGTCGATCTCATTACCCATTTCTCTATCGATCTCACGATCGATCTCACAGTCAATCCCATTATTGAACTCATAATCGATCTCACTAGATGTCGTACGAGCGATCTCACGATTGATCTCACGATCGATCGCATCAAATCGACTTCACTGTCGGTCTCACGATCGACCTTACAATCGTCCTCGCGATCGATTCCACGATCGATCTCACAGTCGATCTCAATATCCATATATCTATATATATATATGTCCATATCACAAATTTTCAGAGCATCCACTGAGTGGGGTTTTTCTCTGGTGCAATTCAGGCTCACACTCAGACTCATGCTCATATTAACTAGGAGTCAGACTCGCCCACACACATAATAATTCACAGTTAGCTTCACTGAGGCGCACGACCACACCCACACTCATACGCACTCGTACTCAGCGTACTCATCATACTCAGACTCGCTCATACCAAGAGTCACTGACTCTCAGACGAATTCACACCCGACGTCGCAGGTGTGGCATCACCCACTTACACTCGATCACTCTCCGACTGCCCTGCACAGACCAACTTCCACCCGACGTGCCAGGCGTGGCACCAGGGCGCCCAAAGGAAGAGCAACCGGGGGGTATGCCATGGGGCGGTCTGCTGCTTTGCCCCCCCCCCCCCCCCCGGATGTTTCTCGTTCGCGAGCCTCACGATCGTGGCGACGCAGCAGGTGCTGCACGTGGGCACGCCGAGCAAGGGCCGCCAGGGATGGCTTCACTTCCCCCTTCGCACCCAGACGGTCGGGATGTCTCGGGCGGTGTGCCTCTTGCGGCGCCCTTGAGCTCCTCTCCTTCGAGAGCCTCATGACCACCGCGGCGCCGCCGGCGTGAAACTTGGGCACTCCAGGGAAGAGCCGCCAGGGGTGGTGCCGTTGCCCCGTTCGCGCCCCCAGATTGTCCGGATGTCTCGGGCGGTTTGCCGGTCTCGGCGCCCCTGCTTCCTCTCTTTCAAGAGCCACAGGATGACCGCGCCATCGCAGGCGGAGCACTTGGGTACCTTATGAGGGAGCCGCCAGGGGTGGTTTCATGATCCAGCTTGCGCCCAGATGGTGGAGATGTCTCAGGTGGTTTGCCTCTTTCGGCGCCCCAGACCCCTCTGTTCAGGAAGGTGTGATTTTCACGTCGACATAGCAGGCGTGTTTTTGTTTGGCATTTCAAGGGGAAGCCGCCAGGGGTGGTGTCATCTCCGGTTAGCGCCCATATTGCAGTGATGTTTCAGGCGGTTTGCTGTCTTGCCTTTGAGTTTTTTCGAGGGCCACATGATCGCCGCGACATAGCAGGCGTGACACTTGGGCACCCCAAGCGGAGGCCGCCAGGGGTGGTCTCGTGTCTCGTTCGCGCCCAGGTTGTGCGGTTGTCTCGGGCGGCTTGCTGCCGTGGCCCCCCTGACGTGTCTTGTCGATAGCCCCATGGTCGCCTCAGTACAGCAGGCGTGGCACCTGGGCACCCCAAGGACGAGCGACTTTGCTCAGGGTACCCTTGCCTTGCTCTTCCTTGCTCTTGCGTCCTTGAGGTTTTCGTCGTCCGCCGCCCCAGGAAATCCCGGCTTCGGCTTCCAAGGGCCTTGCGTCCTTACCGCGCGTCCTTATTAGGGTTTTTGACTATAGTTTCATGTCACCGTTCGCGCCCATCGTGTGGGATGTGTCAGGCGGCCTGCTCGTGCCAGGCCCCCCCAGACATGTCTTCTGAGAGCCCCGTAGCCACCGCTTGGGCGCCCCAGGGGAGGAGCCCATGTGGGAGGCGGACACCTGCCCGTTCGCGCCCCGATTGCGTGGATGTCTCCGGCGCTTTGCTCTGTTGGTGGCCAGGTCCTTTTCTTTTCTACACACCTCCCCCCCCCACTCTCCAATTTCAATGTTCAATGCGGTGCCGATTTTTTTTTCGAACTTCGCCGGTCGCGCGATCAACATTGAAATGGGGGGCCGGGGGGGCTCACCAAACACCAGTTGCTTTTCGCTCGGGGTTGTACGATCACTGCGACCGAACCAGTTGGGCTCCCCAAGGGGGGGCAGCCAGGTACGGGGTAGTCTGCTTGTTCGGGCCTGGATGGTGTGGACTGCGGGGATGTCTCGAGCGGCTCGCTCGCTCACTTGTGAAAGTTTTGTCCCCGATGTAGCAGGCACCGCTCTTGGGCACCCCGAGGAGGAGCCGCCGGAGGGTGTTGCATGGTCCTCTGATGTTTGGATTGTGCCTCGAGCGGCTTTTCGGTTGTGGCGTCCCCGACTCCTCTTCGTTCGGAGCCCCCCCGTGATCCCCGCGACGCAGTCGGCAGAGCACTCGTGCACCCCGATTGGCGGGGGGCCGCCAAGGGATATTACACTTGCCAGCTCGCGCCGGATCGTGGGACCCAGCAGGGATCAGGAGGGGAAAAAACACACAGAGACACAAATGATCGTCGACTCCCAGGAAAAAATTAGAAAATATGAGAAGCATGGGGGGAAGACGAAACCAAGAAAATATGGGAAGCATGGGAATTCTGTTATTCCCCAATCAGAGCTTGCCTCTGTAGGGGTCCTAGCGGATTCATATGGTTAGGTTAGGTTTGTCGCCGATTTTCGCTGCACGCCCGGGTGCCGGGGGGTGCCCGGGGCCCGGGTGCCTGGGTGGGGCCCGGGGGGGCCGGGGGGCCCGGGGGCCCGGGTGCCCGGGCGTGCCCAGGGGTGCTTTGTAGCCCTATAGCCCTATAGCCCAATAGCCCTATAGCCCTATAGCCCTACAACTCTATAGCCCTATAGCTCTATAGCCCTATAGCTCAATAGCCCTATAGCCCTATAGCCCCCTAGCCCTATAATTAGCCCTGATCGGTTTTTTTTCTCCGGTATCATTTGTGTCTATTTCTGTGTGTGTCCCAGGGCCCCTTCAAGGGAAAACGCTGCGTTGTTCAGGCACCCCCGACCCTCTGCATCGAGAGCCCCCGGAGCATCCCGACGCAGCAGTCGTAGCACTTGGGCGCCCCAGCGGGGAGCCGCCGGGGGGCGCCCCGTCGCTGCCGGCTGAGGGTCTCTCGCCCAGACGCTCACAGACGGGAAGTGCCAGGAGCTCCAGTGCACGCGTGGGGATCCCCGCGCCGAACGCGTGGCTGCACCCATGGAGGGCTGCGTGTTTTCGGGGCGGGGAGTTCGCCCGGGACTCCTCCCAACGGTTTGCCCACGCGCGTAGATGTGCGAGCCAGGCGCACGGATCGCGGCAGCGCCGCACGCGCGGACGGCGTTCTTGTGCAGAGCGGGGCTGTGGTTTGGCACCCCCGTGGACGTTGAAGCCCCACCTTGCCGCACCCCGCATAGCTCGAGGGATGGAGCGCAGTTGTCTATGAAACGGAGCTCCCGCCCGGATTGCGGGCCCCTCGTGGCGCCCGTCGTTCAAGGAGGCTCCTTCGAGCGGTGCAGAAGGGTGCTTGTAGGGGCCAGTGGGGAGGGGACCTGGGCCGAGAGGGTATGCCCCAGCACCCTGTTTACACATCCTGGTTTACTTCGGCTTGATGTTGTCCTCCTCCTCCTCCTCCTCCTCCTCCTCCTCCTCTTCCTCCTCCTCCTCCTCCTCCTCCTCCTCCTCCTCCTCCTCCTCCTCTATACCCACCTCGCCCTCTCCCTCCTCCCACCTCTCACCTTCCCTCCCTCCTCCTCCTCCGTCCTTGTCTCCTTCCTCTCCTCCTCCTCCTCCTCCTCCTCGTCCTCCTCCTCCCCCTCCTCCTCCTCCTCCTCCTCCTCCTCCTCCTCCTCCTCCTCCTCCTACTCGTCATCCCTCCCCCTTTTTGCGAATTACCCTATGCGTTCCCTGCCTGTTGCCTCTCACCGCCCACTCTCTCTTACCGCTGCCATTTTCAGGGCCCTTGAGTCGCAGCAGCCGAACGTAGCACACCGATGTACCGGCACAGTTGATCACGTCATACAGCAGTCAGCACGCCAGGTTGCCGAGCGGCCCGACGGGCGACAGCGGCCCCGAGAGGGAGCCGAGAGAGTCGGAAGCATTCATAGGGGAACAAAAA